GACTGGAATACTGAGCTGGCAGCTCCAGAGCAGCAGGGACAGTCACTGTGCTTCATCTGCACAGTGCAAGTCAGCAGGGTTTTCCCCTGGGCCACCCTGGCTGTGCTCTGCACTCTCTGCTCCTGGCCAGTGCCACAGCCTGGCTCCTGCTTAGACACCCCTTTTGTCTGCTCATCCTTACTCAGGCTCTTACTAAATGAAGATTCTCATGTCCCAGTCCTAAAATCAAACTGGGGTATCTACCTGGCATATCCCTCATGCCTGCTGATGAAGCATGGTGACTATTTCCTATCCAGCACACACATTTCTGCTGAGTATCTCTATGAAAGCAAAGTTTGCCTTACTAGAAGGGAGACTAAAATTTAAATAACCCAGCCAAGCACTACTAGAGGGGAGTTACAAGTGGAAAAGGTGGCAATTGCACAGATCCCTAATTGACAGAGATGCTTAAGCACATGCTTTAGTTAATGACACAAATAATCCAGCAAACTTTCCCACCCAAAGTGGTGTTGTCAGCTCTCTCCACTGCTTTGCTGCTCTCTTGCTGCACCCATGAAGCCTCTGCCACTTGGATCAGTTGCTGAAGCCCAAGGTTTTGCACCCCCAGCACTACCCAGCCCTTTGGAGCAGCTCAGCTTCCTCCTGTGCTCCATTCCAGCTGAGCCCTGTGCTCCTGGCAGAGGCTGTGGTGTGGATCCTGCCAGTTGAGCACACTCTGGAATTGGCACTCTGGTGGTACTTACACAGAGGCCAGGCTGCCTCCCCAGCTCCTGAGGGGGGTGCAGGGCCAGCAGTACTGGGGAAGTCTTGGAAGTGGGAGCAAAACCACTTTCCTCTGAAGGACCCATGCCACCAAGAACCCAATCACAGTTTGCTTGAACAACTCCTGACACAGCCACAGCCCTGAGCCAGGGCTGGGACAGGGGCACCAAACCAGAGCACACAGATCAGTGATACACCATGCCTAAACTCCAAATGCATTCCCAGCCCTGCAGGGGCCAGAGGAAGGGAGACTCAACAAGGGCAGATCTCCCTGACTCTCACACCTCGAGCTACTTAGTGAACAAGGCTGGGATTGTGCTTGTGCCAAAGTGCACTCCTGGTACTGACACACTAAGCCCAGCCTAAAGGAGGTGCCAGCTCTGCCATTGTCCGGATCAGGGAACTCCTGGCTCTCTCCTGGGCTCTGTCCCAGCCTCCCACCATGCCTAATCCAGGCTTCCCACCCAGCTCTCATCACCTGGAGCACTGCCTGCCCCAGACCTCCCCCCACAGCCAGCCCTCTTGCAGGAGGCCCCCAATCCAGGCAAACTCCATGGAAAAGCAGTGAGGGCAGTGCCCACAGACACACAGTGGCCACAGCCACCACCAGTGATTCAAAAGGTCAGCCCACATCTCCCACCACCTTGGCTCCCCATGCTGCTCACCATTAACACCTCTCAGGCTCCAACAGGAATCCAGTTTGCAGCTTCCAACCTGATAAAATCCAACCAGCAATGATGCATTTGCTGCTGGGATGACTGTGAGCTTCAAGCAGCTGCATGGTTATTGAGCCTCCCAAATTACACAACACTTATGGATGCTTACATTAAAATTACCTTGCAATCTCTGGATTGCCTGGCAACACTTTTCCTTCAGCATGCACAAATGGTGCACTTTTCCTCTTAATTATATAATAATTGCCATGCATTTACCCAGCAGTTCAGAGAGAACACCATTTTTAACTTTCATTTGCTAATAAAATAAGTGGTTACTCAATGGTCCAAAACGAAGCATCTTATTGTTCCTGTTGCTGTGAGTGCTTGGGCATCCTATAATTCATTGTTGAATTTCACTCTCTCTGCTTAAGACTACCCACACTTTGCTGGTTTTTTGGTTGTTTTTTTTTTTTTTTCTGTGTACTAAGCTCAAAGTTTCCTCTGAGCAGGAACTGTTCCTGCAGCAGCATCCAGCACAGCAGAGCTGGAATCTCCCAGCTGAGGCACACAGGCTCTGCTGCAATCTGAATGCTAATGGGGATATAAAAAGCTGCATCTTCATCCTTCAAGCTCTACTCAAAGACAGTCTTAAGATTCCCATTCATTTATTAACTTCTACCAACTTTCTGAGGTGACCTGACTAATTCTGGCAGCACCTGAAAGCTTCTGGACCGTCCAATTTGCAAACACTGATTTTATTCCCTGCTGGTTTTAGATAAAAACTGAGGTGGTGCTGCATTTCAATGTGGAGAGGGACTGAGACCCTCAAACCATGTTCCTCTGCCTCAGCAAGGCCCATCATGCTCAGAGACTTGTTCTCTCTCAGTGGTTGAGAGTGAGAAATTCCTTTTGGTTTAAACTGGCTACCTGATTATTTTGTTTGCTTTCCATTAGGTATTGTGTTTTTAGAGACAGAAAAGATTCATTTCCTGTCCAACACTTCCCTGACAATTAGGGTTTTGTAAGCCTCTGCCATAGCATCCCTTCCCAAGGCAATTTTCCATTCTTGAGAGCTTTGGTCATACCTCTGTACATAAGATTTTCCAGGACCATCCTGATCATCTTCTTGGGCCTCAGTTCTAGGGAGCTCTTGTTTCTAAGACAGGCTGAACACATAATACTGCACATAATATTCAGGATACTCCTTGTCTGTACCTAAGAGCTCTTAGCGATCCAAATAACTGCACAATAACATTTTCTACTTTCTTCTTCCTTTCATTCCAAATAATTCCCCAAATCTTGTTAGCCTTGTTGAATCCCACTAAGTAATGGGTTGGCATTTTCAAGAGAACTATCCAGAACAAAGCCCAGGTGAGAAGAGATAATTTAGAGCCTATCACATTGTATGTATTTTCAGTGTTGTTTCTCTCCCTCATGCATTACCCTACAGTGAGCAACATGAATTTTCATCTGTCATTTTATCATGCCATCACTTGCTATCAATGGCATTTTCCTGCCAGTCTTCCCAGTCAGTTCTATCCTGAATAACCCAGTGCCACCATCCATCTCTCTTATTGTTCTCTACCCTTTTTATGGTCATTTAGGAATACACTGAACAGCCCAGCCCACGTTATGGGCTCCTGTTTAATTGTACTGGTGACTTTTCTCAGTTGTGAAAGCTGTATTCCAACTTTCTTGATTGTCTAGCCATTAATCCACAAGAGCACATCCAGCCTAAGAGATTTAGGAGCTGCTTTGTGAGCTACTGTTAATGGATCTAATCAAAAGCTGTTTGGCAATTGAAACACAAGGTAATATCAGGATCACCTTATCTACATATTTGCTGTCTCCTCTGGAAAACAATCAGACCTGCAAGGTGGGAATGTCCTCTGCAAAAGCTGTACTGCCTCTTTCTCCCCAAATTCACCATGGGCAATTCTTCAGTGTGCCAGTGTGCAGAGGAAGCAGCCAGAGCTGAGAGCACTGAACTCACAGAGGCTGTTTGCAAGGAGGACACCAGCATCCAACAGGCCCAGAGCCAAGCTCAGCACAGCAGCAGCTGAGGTACAGAAGCAGCAATTGTTTTCAGGATGCCAGCACACAGACCTTTCCACCTTGTGTCTTTAATTCAGGGACCCCTCTTTGCTCAGCAGGGTCCTGTCAACAGACACACAGGGGGTCACTCAGATGGGCTCTGCACACACAGGGACAAGGACAGACACACAGGGAGTCACTCAGGTGGGTTCTGCACAGGGGGACAAGGACAGACACACAGGGAGTCACTCAGATGGGCTCTGCACAGACAGGGACAAGGACAGACACACAGGGAGTCACTCAGGTGGGTTCTGCACAGACAGGGACAAGGACAGACACACAGGGAGTCACTCAGATGGGCTCTGCACAGGGGATGGACAAGGACAGACACACAGGGAGTCACTCAGATGGGCTCTGCACAGGGGGACAAGGACAGACACACAGGGAGTCACTCAGATGGGCTCTGCACAGGGGAGAACAAGGACAGACACACAGGGAGTCACTCAGATGGGCTCTGCACAGACAGGGACAAGGACAGACACACAGGGAGTCACTCAGATGGGCTCTGCACAGGGGGACAAGGACAGACACACAGGGAGTCACTCAGATGGCTCTGCACAGGGGGTGGACAAGGACAGACACACAGGGAGTCACTTAGATGGGCTCTGCACAGGGGGTGGACAAGGACAGACATCCTCCCTGTGCTGCTCACCAGCTCTGCCATGGCCAGTGCTTGCCCTGCTAAGCCAGGGACAGGGATTTGTTCCAGCTGAAGCTGACTGGCTGAATCCATGACACTGCAAACACCCATTTTCTGGCTCTGCTGTTGCCTTCAAAGTCTCCAAAAAGAAATAAATTGAAGAAAAAAGAGAGGCAATGTCCATTCTAAGGGTTCTGTGACACTTCCTGGGTAAACCCAAGCTGAGTGGGGCCAGCTCCAACAGCAGCCCCATCACAGGCAATCCAAGGGGACCTCTCTGGCTCATCCAACAGCCCCCCAGGGCCAAGGTGGCCCTCCCCAGCTGAGCAGGGGTGTTAGACTAAGCCTTTTTCTGACCCAGAGATGGAGCAACTGAGAAGCATTTAAAAAACTTCTATTCTATTTTTAGTCTCATGTGAAGGGTGAGACAATGCAGATGTTATAGTTCACATCATCACAATTAGAAGCTGTTTCTTAATTATAATACACTGTGTTTTTTGGTCTATCAGCTTTAGCCACTCTATGCTGTAAATGCTTTAAAGCCAATCATCTAAAATTACCTCTTGTGGGCCCTACTACAATGCATCTTTCATAATTCAGTTTCTCTAAAGTGTCCAGTATTTTTTTGCAAGGCCATCCTTTGAAACTTGTTTCTAGTTCTACTTCTCTCTCAACCATGTCTGTCCTGTTCCATGGCATTTCTAAGTCAGCCTTTCTTATCTCATAGTTTGCATACAGATGCAGACTGTGTGAGCCTTCAGTCAGGCTTTGAGAATTCCCTGTAGATCTCTTTCCCCCGGAGGGGCTGAGCAGACCCTCTGCAGGCCCTGCCCGTGCTGGGTACTCACAGTACTCGATGCCCAGGACGATGTCTCGGAAGTAGAGCCGAGCCTGCTCCTCGCTGAAGGGCTGCTCACTGGGCACCTCCATGACAGGCCTGTGGGGACAGGGACAGCCACTCAGTGCCCTGCACAAGGGCAGGAACACCCCTCGCTGGAGGAGTTTGCTCTCCATCACCACGTCCCAGCACTGAGGCTCCTGAAAGGCTCTGGGTGCTGTGGCACAGGATGGAGGTGTGCTCATTCCTTCTGGAGGTGGTGATGCTTTGGTTACTGAGCTTGGCTAGTGATGGGTGGCTTTGCATAGTCCCTGAGCCAGCAAGAACCACAGAGCCCTCATCAGCATCAGGATTAACTGCACAAAATGAGACAAACACCACTCACTGACAGTCCCATGGGAGAAGAACAAAGCTGGACCTGGCCTTTGGCTTCCTGCTGAAGCTGCCCATGGCTGTGAGCACCAGCATTGCCACAAGATCCCAGTCGGCAGTGGGGACACTGCCTGTTGCTGTGCACTGCATGTCCTGCCTGCTGGGGCTCAGTCCTGACACAATATCACTGTGCAGCTGGTCTCCACTGAGGCAGAATAGAGACATGAACCACCAGCTCAAAGGTTAAATGAGAATATTTTCAGTGCTTTGTGCTAAACTGCTTTAAAAGCCTATTTAGCTGCTCAGGGTTCAGCCACCACCAGAGCTCAGCCATTCAGGCCTGAACAGCCAAGGTTACCTGGTCAGCTTCTTCTCTCCTTTCCTTTGAGTGCTGCCACTGCTGAGGCATCACAGTCTCCTCTACAAGCCCCTCTTCAGCCTGTGCCTGCTGAAAGCTGAGGGCAAAGAGGCTGCAAGAGCTGGTCAGCATCTGCTGCTCCCCCTTGGATGAATGGCTGGAGCTAAGGACCTCACTGCCCTGGGGGCTAACCCTGCCTGTGCTCAGCAGCCTGGCTTTGCATGTGGGCATACATCACTGACTGGAGCTGGTTTTACTGAGTGCTCCTGGGACACCATCCTGGCAAGCCAAGCCCTGCCTGAGAACAGCCCATTGCCAAAACCAGGCTCTGAGGCTGTTGCCCTCAGCACCCAGCAGTAAATCCTTCCTGCAGCATTTCCCTCTTCTCCCTGGCTGCCCATTTGATTGATGACCTTCATCTCCCATTTGTGTTTTCCTGCCACTGCCTTCCCTGCCCCTTTTGTGCACATTTTTCTGTTGCTGAAACAAGGGAGAAGTGAGCAGAGCTAGCAGAATCACTAATGGAGTCTAATTGCCTCCTGCCAGAGGCAGCCAGGTGCACTTGGCTAGCCACAGGTTCCCCAGCCTCAGCTGTTTGCAGGAGCTCCCTCTCCTACAGGTCAGGCATCAGCCTGATCACCAGGGAGACTGGGGAGCCTCTTGCCAGCAACCCACTGGAGCTGGCAGCTTGTTCATGGGGCCAGAGAGAAAAATAACCCCTCTGGGCATCTCCTCCATCCTGGGCACAGAAATGATGCCCTCACTGGGACTGCAGAGCTGCAGGATCAGTGCAGGTGTAGCAAGGAGCAGTGAGGAACCTCTTAGCACCTTATCCCTTCTTCTACTGTGCCAAAGGAATGTGCCAACAGAACAGCCTCCCATGAGAGGTCAGTGCTGAGGGCAAAGTAAGGCAGCAGGTGGCAACTAAATCTTGATGTAACCACAGACCCTTGTATCAGAGGAAGCCACAATGTGGCTGGAACCCAGCAGAATATTCCTATTCAAACCTTTTCTTCCAGCCACCTGGTGAGGAATTGTCACAGAATTTATTTTCCACATCAGAGTCTGGCACCAGGACAGGTCCTCCCAGCCCATTTCTATTCACCTCACCATTCCAGGCTGTAGCAGTGCAAAGCTGGGTTTTGCCTCCCCTGCTGACAGGGTTTGCCCCACTGGACATATCAAACCTCCATTTCACATGGGAACCTGAGGATGAACACCAAAATTTTCAACAGAAGGGGTCCCAGGAGGGCTACTTACCCTTTTCTCATGAGGTCAAACACTGCAAGAAAAGGAAATAAACCATGAATGAATGAGAAGAGCAGCCTGGGCTTATTTGTTATTCAGCACCTACAAAAACACATCCATTCCCATACCTGCAAAATCAATTTATCTCCACTCATTTCTCTTCCCTCACCCATGACAAGGACACCAGAGGATGTAAAATGAAAATATTAATCTCTTCAGCTCAGACAAATATCCTCCCTCCTGGCAGCTCCGTACAGGGAGACAGTGGGTGCTAATTTATCAACCACAGTGCTGCTGCTCTGGGTGTCAGCCCTGGTTGATTTGAGCCCTGTTGTACCTCCAAGGGAGGGTGTTTGGTGTGATATTTCCACTAAATTGCTGATAGCAAAGGAGATGCTGTAAGAACATGCTGCTCCATTTCTGCTGTGTCAATCAGCAGCACAGCTACAACTGTGTCAGAGCCAAACACTCCCTGGCAGGAGCCACTGAAGAGGATTTGTTGAGGTTTGCAGAGCACATGAGTTTGTGTGCCTGATTAGGAGAAGTGTTTTTGTGATCCTGCTCTGCCCTGTTCTGCAAACAGGAGAAGGATCTGCTTTTACCTAGAGCAGGAGAGCTCTTTCCCCATGAATTACGTGGGGATTTCTTGCGCCTCCCAAAAAATCTGAGCAGATCCCCTCCCCAAAGCACTGGGGTGTGGGATCCTCTGAAGGTACAAACACACAGGGCAGCTAATGCAGGCTGAATTGGCTCATCTTGCCCTCCAGAAGCTGCAGCTTGTGGAAGCAGTTCATTATTCAACCATCCTGTACCTTTGCAGGTTGCTCATTGCCTGCTGACATCCCATCCCAGTGACACACAGCCAAGTGCTCACAGCAGTGCCTGATCCCAGCAGATCACAGCAAACACCACTTCCTCTAGATCTGCTCTGCAGTGGGGGGCATTTTTGGATGGAGAAAGTGCAGTTATCATCAGCTGGGGCAGCAGCAGGAGGGTGCAAACCCCCTTGCAGGATGTCCAGCCCTGAGCAGTGCAACTCCTTCTGCCAAGGGAACTGCAGAGGCAGGAGCTTGATGTGCCTGAACTTCAGGGGATCCCAGGCAGAGGAAAGGGGTGGTGGAACATGGACAACAGGGACATGGCCACTGCTTGTCACTCAGGGACCAGCACAACCTCCAAAAGGACCAGGAGATTCCCCACCTGTCCTGCTGCTGTTGCTGCTATTTCTGGGATGGTTCTTTTACTCCACAGATAGAGCTTGGTTTAGTTTTGGTTTGTTTTTTTTTTTTTCCCTTCTGCAGCTTTCTACCTCATCTCTCCCCTTTCCTCCATCCCCAGGAGTTCAGGCCTTCAAACAACAGCCTCCATCATCCTCCCACCACGAGTGCCATCGCTGCCAGATGCCACTGGGGCTTCAGCCCAAAGGGAAAAGTGGCCTTTCAAAGGCAAATTGCTTTGTTTGCTAGGCAGAGTCCTCCTTCAGGCAGCTTCAGAAGTGTCCCATAATTATTTCATCAAGATCAGTCTTTGAACCTGCTTCATCAGGAAACAGTTTGGGGAAGCAGAGCTGTAAAAGGGTCAGTCATCCCCTCCTCCAGCCCATCTCAGAGGGCACCTCAGGGCCTCCCAGGCCTGACCCTCAATGTTCACCCAAATGGGGGTTAGGGATGGCTGGTACTGTCGGGGTTTGGAGGAGAGGAAGATAAAATGTGTGGAATTCCCTCGCCCTCTGCATAAACACCCAGTCAGGCATGGCTTCCCCATCAAAGGTGGGAGTGCTGCTCCCTTAGGAGGCCCTGAGGCTCAGCAGGGTGGTCAGAGTCTCTGCAGGGGTCACAGGGAGCACTCCCAAGCAACAGTGGAGTGACTCTGGAGTCACCACCACTCTCCAGAGCCTACAGAAGTTCCATAGCAGGAGGACAAGGAAACCTTCCTGCACCCTTCTCTTCCCTCCTGGCTCTGGGACTGGAATCAGCTCTACAGAGGGGAGGGCAGAGCAGCTGTCAGCTCTTTTCAGTGTCCCCATGGCAAAGAGATGTGCACAGCTGTACTGACACAAGGTTGCCTTACCCTACTGCACGGGGCCTTTCCATCCCAGCTGCATTTACAGGCGTTTAAACTTGGCAGAAAAAAAAAAAAAGAAAAAAGTCTGCAGAAGTTGGCACAAGTTTCCTCCTGCACTGACCCCGAGTCCTGGCAGGTGTCACTTGCATCACTAGGCCCAAGCCCAGATGGTTCTGTTAGCTTATGAGACTCACATACCCATGTACAAGTTGTCCTCTGCAGGATCATCAAGGACCTGAGAGATCACAGAGAAATAAGGGGAAAGAGGAAAAAAGTGAAAAACAGCAGGAAAAAAGATTTTTAAGCAAGTAATACTCCCAGTACACTGTGCTGAGCTTCAGAACACTGAGAAAAATTTAGGCTAATATTTAGAGAGTTCTGCAGAGAATTTGGAGGGGTTTTGGAGGACAGGGTTTTTTTTTGGGGGGTTTGGAGGACAGATTTTCCCGTCTCCAGAAAAATCTGGGCTTCTACCTGAATTTGGAGAAACAGCCTACCAATAAAGGCACTGCTTATCTTAAACTGACCTCAGTCAATAACTGAAATGGCACTGAAGCCTTGCACCTGTGCACCTTCCCAGGCTTGTCTGCACACAAGTTTCAGTGATCAAAGCTCACTGCTATTTCTACCAGCACAGTGAGCTGCCTTCTCCTGGGCACCAGCCCAGAGCTCAGGGTGAGAGTGCAGTTTATACTACACAGTCAGTAAGACTTTGCTTGGAATCACCAGCCTAAATTTCTGAACATCTATTTTAAACCCATTCTGGCTGAAGTAGGAGCAGTTAAAGAAAAATCCTCTTGATGCAATACAAACCAGATTTGTTTCAGCATAACTTAGCGTGGAGAAGCAGCTCACCTCTATCAGCTTAACAATATTGATGTGGTCCAGCTTCTTTAGGATGGCTATTTCCTGATAGACTCTGTCCAGGGGTGCCATGGGCTTGGGCTGCTCTCCAGAGGATGCTTTGGACCCTCTGGGAGGAGGCCGACCTGCAAGTGTGACAGCAGAGTGAAGAATTCCTCATTTGGCAGCAGCCCCTGCACAAAGGATGAGCAGCACCTCTCACACCCCTCCAGCTGTTCTGGAAGATCTCATCCCCTTGTTCTCATCCCAAAGCTCTGCAGTCTCCCACCTGGAACTGAGTTCTCCAAGTCCCATTCAGAGCAGCTGCTCCCAGATGGGTCTGGGGCATCCCACGGCCCAGCCTGCACCCAGGGGCTGTCCCAGGGGTAAGGAAAGGAGGGCAGCACCCTGCCTAACTCCCAGTGCCTAACTGGGAAGAACATGGAAGAGTCACCACTTCAAAGAGACTCACAAAAACCAGAGCCAGGAATCTCATTACTGAGTGTGTTGAATTTCCCTGAGGCTGTATCTGCCCCTCACCACCCCCTCCTAACTAGCTCCCTCCTTGCAGACCATGTTTCTACAGAGAGTTTTGGCTGAGGACAACAGGCAGACCTCCAAATGTGAGATACCCACGTGGAAATCCATACTGCTTCAAGAGCTTCTTTTTGGAGAGGACTTTCATAGCCTGGAGGTGGAAGAAAAAGCAGTATTAAAACTGAACAAGAGCCAAAGAGCTGATTGCTGTGACCTGGAGTATGCTGAGCATCAGGGAATGTCTCAGGGCTGCTGCTCACCCTAGAGAAGGGTCCTGGTCAGTGGTGGCCACACCAGACAGACACTGACCCAGGCTTTCCTGAAAGCACTGCTAACCATTTGGTCCATTCATCTTTCTTTGATTTATCTTCAAATGGACAAAGAAAAAGGAGCCAAATTTCTGCATTTGGGGCAGAAGCTCGAGGGAAGAGGTGGGTTCCTATGGCTGACCCACTGCTTTGGATGATGTTATGGCCATGCTCCAGCTCAGAGACACTTCAAGGCTGCTTTATTTTATGTTTTGTCTTGTCAGGAGGTATAAGGAAACTAAACCCAGGCAACTGAGGTGTGGGAAGTGGTCAGGGCAATTCTTCCTGCCATCCAGCTGGCATTAGCATAGTGGCAAAAGGCAGTCTGAATTTAATAAACAGTCCTTGTGCCTCCATCTGCTCTGTGCATTAATAACCTTTTTTTTTTTTTTTTTTTTTTTTTTTTTTTTTTTTTTTTTTGGAGAGCCACTCAAACCCCCCAAGTGGCCCAGCAGATGAATATTTAATGAGAAACCAGCTCATGGTACCAGTTGCTTGGGAAAACAGCCTGTGCTTCCAGGAGCTGGGATGGTCACTCACTCCTCCCCCTAGCCTAAGGGGTTACTCCTATTAATATAGCATCCAATATGTAATTCACACTGGAGTGACTCCTACACAATCTAACCAACCAAGGAGTCCTGCAGGACAGTCAAACTCCCAGGAATTTAGCATCACTACCACAGAGGCAGGGTCTCTACCTGTTTTTAACACTCATACCAGGAACTGGTCACCAAAGCCATTCCAGTGAGCTCCTTGCCAAGCTGTTGTCCCTGGCAATGATGGCACCACATGCCCAAACATCCCCACCTCCCCTCAGTGCTCCCACTGCAGCCAGGTTCATGGCTTGCTGACAGGATTGTTATTTTTGGTACTGATCCAGTGAAATCCTCTGGATTTGCACCCGTGTAATTGAGAAGAGACACTGTGCAGTGTTTCAATCCTGCCTGACAGCTCCAAACCAACTGTTAGAAATGAGGGTGTTGAGAGACAGACTCAGAAGTGCTTATCTTTGACTTAGCACAGCTCTGTGTCCAATACAGGCAGCCAAATGACTCATGGTCTGCTGAAAGAGGATCCAAGATGTGCACAACCGCCTCCAAATACGGCCAGGACCAAGCCTGGAGGACCTCCTACGCTTCCCATTTTATCTCTCCATCATGAAAATTTATGAGAAAAATCAAAGGAATTGGTACATCCATTTCTCTTTCAACCATTGCCAACCCAGGAGGAGAACTCTCCTCTTGCTCCAATCCCATCTTGAGTCCTTGCTGCCTTCTGGCAAGGAGCTTCAGAAAAAGGACAGAGCAGAAGATGCAATTTGCTGCTGAAAGTTCCTCAGCCTGAGGAATTGAACTACCACCACCAGCCATGGCCACATCAGGACAGTCCTTCCCAGGAGAAGCTGGAGGGAGCAGGAAGGCACAGAGAGGAGCAATAGCTGAGACAAGGCTTGCTCTTGGGGGCAGAAATGGAGGGAACAGGAGCTACTGCTGCCACCCAAACGCCTTGAAGGACACTTGAGGGGCAGTAGGGGGGTAGGAGAGTTGAGTGCAGAGCACCACTACTGCTGAAAGAAGCACAAGGATATGCTTATGCCAGTTTTGAAGCACCAGTATCTGCTCCTGCACAAGCAGGGCTGGGTCAGAAGAGAGGACCTGTCCCACTGTGCTGACAAACTCAAACAGGCACAAAAAGCAAAGTTCATCCTGCAACAGGCCAGAACCACTTAATTATCACAAGAGCAGAGAGGAGGGCACGTGGCTGTGAAGCCTCACTTTAATTACAGTGAGCTGGCAGGGCCAGGCTTCCTCCTGAATCGTGGCTGCTGTAATGGGAACATCTCAGGGATGCTTCAGCAAACCTCTCCTTCAGGCTCAATGCGTGACAGAGCCAAAGACATTTGTACTCACAGGCAGAGCTAATTACCCAGATAATGCCTTTCTGATAAAGAACCAGCTCTGAGCCAAGCTGAGGGATTTTCCTTTTGCACAGGCAAGTGTTGGTTGCTTCAGCCTTCTCAGGAAAAGAGGGAGCCTGGAGATTTCCTCCACACATCCTCCTCCCGACTGTTCCCGCACGGACACGGGTCTTGACATTTCCCTCTGAGAAACAGCAGGAACTGTGTGCTTTTCTCTGGTGTATGTTTATTATCTAAGTTTACTGCTCTCTTCCTATCAACCCTACAGCTGGAAGCCACAGGGAAGCTGCCTAAGGGAAAGGAGATCCCAGGTTTATGGAGAGGAGGAATGCCTGTGACACAGCAGCTTCCACAGCAGCAGGACCACAAGCTGTGGGTAATGACAAGGGCAAAAATAGCATTAGTTTTGGGAGGGAAGGGTGACAAAATGATTGAGCCAAGAGAACTTATCACCTTATCACCAAGTGAACCATCACCTGTCCTTGGTGACGCTCTCACAGTGCTCAGAGTGTCATTTTATTTGTTAAGGGAGAGACATGAACTGCAAGGGCAGAAGCCTGTGCACAGCCCCTACCTACAGCTCCCAGGGGAGTGGGATGCTGCTCAAAGATCCCTACTAACCACCTAAATCCTCTGCTAGTGCATGAGGACACACTGTGGGAATGCTGAACAGACCAGAGAGTGTTTCCAGCCCTTCCTCACCTGTCCTGCCTAACAACATCCCTCAGACAAAGCAGCTGAAAGGGCAGCTCTGCTGGCAAAGAGGAGTGTTATTACCTGAAAGAAAATCCTAAACCAGACAGATATAGCTGCCATGGCCTTAAAATCCTGCTCCTGTGTTTGTCACCTTCTGTCCCACCAGCAGAATTCCATCACCAGGCTGTGCCCCATCCCTGCAGTGCCACCACAGCAGGGATGCTGTCCTGGAGCTCTCTGTCCCCAGCTGCCTCCCGAGGATCCTGCTGCTACCCCGGGTGACCCAGCCCCTCAAAGCCCTCAGCTGAACAGCACAGGGTGTCAGACTGAGCCAGAGATCAGCTCCCTGCTGCCCACTGCTCTGAGTGCAGCTGGCAGTGGTTCAGGAGCTGTTACTGAGCCAGAGGATGGGAAATGCAGGAGCTCTGCCTTCCCTTTCCTCCTGGATGGCAACCAAAGCAGTTCTCCAGGGGCTGGAAAGTTCAAGGCTTGCTGCTGGCCACCTTCTCAGCAGCAGCCCTTTGTTCAGCCACTCCTTTCATAAACCTGGAAGGAATTTCTCCCCATCACTGAGACTTGGAAGGAAAGAGCCCTCAGTGCAAAGATTGTTAGGTACAAACAGAGGCAGAGAGCACAATCACACAAATCTTGTTTCTTAGGAAACAAGATTAAAAAAGAAGGATGAAAAAAAGAAAAATCCACTCACAACCTAAATGCTGTTGCCTTATTCCAGCAGTAGCATAACAAATGCCCATCATAACCACTTTCCTTTGCAAGCTGATTTAGAGATTGAAAATAGGAGGAAGACATGACCTGAGGCTTCAAAGAATCAAATTCCATCAGCACAATGATTCCAATCTAGATCTCTGCTTGGACACATTTGCCTTTGCTTTTTATTTGCTACTTTTTCAGAGAACTTGGCCTTTGATTTTTCCCTTAGTCATCATCAAAGCATCTCCTTCAAACTGAGACACTGAAACCTTTCCAGTGTAAAGGGCTCCTTGGCAGAGCCCCACAGAAGCTGCTGTAACAGCTTCATGTGCCCCAGCAGCAGCAGGGTCCTCTGCTCTGGCAGCCAGCTCTGCTTTCTAGCGGGGTCTGCTCCTTGGAGGGAGCACTGGCTCACATACCTGTGCAGAAATTCCAGTTTCCATGGTCTAACACATTCCCTACATCCGGTGATGTGAGCCAGGACACTTCACAGCCCTCCAGGCACTGTGGTGCTCTCAGCAACCAAGAGCAAAGCTCTTAGAAGCACTCCCTCATCTTTAATGGAAGGTAAAAAACCCACAAAGTAAACACAACCCATCTACATTTTTTTCCCAAATGAGGTGTTTGAATTATTTTCTGGAGAGTTTTTCCTAATTCTAGGCCAGATCCGAAACTCATTAAAGCAGCAGCAATCTTTCCTTTGGCTTTGACAGGAGCTATATTCAGTCCTTGCTCCCTAGAAATTCTGCCTTTTTGAAGGGACCTAGCAGAGGGTCCCACACCTCAGCAAGAATCAGAAGCCACACTGAATTACAGCCCTAAATATTCTTTTTTCTTATTTCTTTACAATTTTGGTCCTTGTTATTGCAGTACAGTAGCTTAAAGACAGTAAAGAAGGCAGCAACACCCTGGCCTCATGCTGAACCACTGCAAATGAAAATCAGTTATAGAAGCAGAATATCATAGAATGATTTGGGTTGGAAGGGACTTTAAAGATCATCAGTTCCATCTCCCTGCCATGGGCAAGGACACGTTCCACTAGACCAGGGTGCTCCAAGCCCATCCAACCCGGCCTTGCTCACTAAAGGCCAACCAAGGGCTGATTTCCTCCAATTACTTCTTACTGCTTTTCACCACTGAGACAAAAAACACCATCTAGAGCTAAATCTGGGGGAAAACAAACACTCAGAAAAGGCCATTCCCAACTATTAGAATCCCAATTGCTTCTATTAACTTCTGGTAGGAGTCATTAGGTACCCCTGGGGCGCACTGCTGAGGGATATAACAGGGATGGGAAGGACAAGCAGGGCAGGGTGGAAGCTGTCTCAGCTCTGGGAGAGCTCCAGGGTCAGGCACACCAGCCAGTTGTACAATCGACTGTTTCTCTGAAGATTTGAAAAGTCTGCCAGCTCCTGAGCTGCCTGAATGTTTAGGAAAGGCAGAGGTGTCTCCACCATGGCTTGCCCTCCAGAAAACAGGCAGAGGTGGCTGGGAGGATAAGGGTGCACTGGGGAAGGGGACAGCTCCCCCTGCCCTGCCAAGAGGGCAACAAGGGACATGGACCAGAGTTCAGAGAGGCCCATCCCTCCATACACCTGCCAGGATCACCTCCCAGCCCCAGCATCCAGCTCAACCCCAAAAGGAGGATGGGGTGAGGCAAAGAGCACATCCCTGCAGGGCTGGCACTAAGGGGGTCTTTGTGCCCTGCCCACCCTCAGGTGAGGCTCAGACTGCCCCCAGGCACGGTGCCCCTCCCGGCCTGCAGCACCTTTAAGTGTTTGCTTAGATTAGAAACCAAGATTAAGTGGGGATTAACTAACACACAGCAGGCTAACCTGCACACAGGCTTTCACTTTTGGTTTTGATTTGACCAGCTAAATCTACATCCATGGGGTTAATCTGCATCCAAAAGAGGGGCAGGAATGCAGCAGGCAATGCTACCCTAAACCCAGCTCTCCCCTGCTGAGCTGTAACAGATGCCCTGCCCACCTCTGGGCACCTCAGTGGCATTTCCTGGACAAAAAGGCAGTGCCAAAATGTAAGGATTACAATTTTCAAAGGAAAAATATTTTCAGCTGGAAATAAACATGATTTATGGATGTGATGCATTCCCACTCTGTGCTACCGATGCTGGCACGCCTGTGCTGGATGAGGGAAGTCAGGCCTGGCACCATCACTCTCTGAAGAACAAACCATCCTGCTGCAGGGCATGGCAGGGAGGATTTGGAGGGCAGCACAGAAAAGGAGCCACTGGAAAAAGCTCTGGTGCAGCTGTGAATCAGCTTGGAAAGGATGGGAGATGGAAAGAATTGTGGCTCCTTTCCTTGGCCAGCTCCAGAGCACCTTGTCCAGATTTTTGTCTCATCTCTTCCATCCTTCATTTCAAGGCATTCCTGCTGCAGTTCCAGACCTGCTGGCAGCACAGAAAGGCTAAGGAATACCCACAGGCACACGGTTCCCACCTGACTATTTCAACCTGGTGTGTCACTTGTAATGAAGAGCCAGGGAGGAAAAGCTGCCTGGGGAGCAGTGGGAACGAGCATGCTTTATGTTCCACAACACATTCTTATCCCCTTTGTCCCCAGGGCAGCAGGGACAAGCAGCAGCACATGAGGCTGCCTGGCTGCTCTGATGGGCCCATCTTCATCCACATGCAGGAGCAACAGCAGGGCACTCTCACCAAATGCAGTGTGGAGCAGCAGGGCTGTCTTGGGTTGAGGTTCAACAGCCCTGCAACCACCCAGCTCTGCTCAGCAGATTCCTGCCCTGGGATCCATCAGAAACTGCTGGAAGCTCTTTCCAGAAGCCTCCAGGTACAGCCACACATAGCAAGGAAATTTTCCTTGCTTCCAGCTCCTGCTCTCAGCCTGAACAAAACAAGCCACAGGGCAAGCCCAGGGACATGAGCACATCTGCAGGCAGATTTCACAGGAATTCCAGCTGGGATGGATGGGATTCAGCTCCTTCTGAAAGGGGAGGCCCAGAGCAGGAGCCTTCAGCATAAGCAGCCTTTTGGAATATGAAACTCTCCAACTCTGGCATCGTTAAACCCCAAGATTTGCCTTCAGTCTTGCACCTTACGCCTCATGCCCTGACAGGGAGCTGGTTCAGTGTCCCCCAGGCATCCCCCACGGGGGTGAGATGCAGGGAGCCTGGCACTGCCCAGGCACACATCACTGCTCAGCCTTTTCCTGAGAAACGCCCCCCTTTCCTCACAAAACACTCCTGCTCCTTCCAGGCCAGGCTTCCAATGCACAGCAGGTGCTGAATGCCACCACCCACGTGCCTCTAATTTCAGGTGACCTGCTTCATAGCTAGGAGATGCCAAGGCAGATCAGCAGCGTGCTTCTGCCTGTTACATAAAGCACCCACCGGTGCCTCCTGCGCACAGCGCCGTGCCCAGCGCAGCCTCAGCTCCTGCCACCACCCAAACCACAAGGGCACCTGCTGCAAGCAGCCAGGCAGAGGGCAGCCAGCTGCCAGGGGCACAGCAGCAGCCAGGAGCAGCAGAGCAGAGGCACACTTACGTAATACTTGTCATCGTTCTCGTTGTAGGCCAGTTTCACCACGCCGTAGGAGCCCTGAAAATAAACAGCAATTGCACGGTCAGTTCAGCAGCTTCACCTCGTCCTCCTGCTGCTCGAGGCTGGTGGATCACAGCTGGGAAAAAAACCAGCCCCCAAGGCCCCAGAGCATGCTGAGCCCTGAGCAGTCTGCAGGTGGTGTGACCCTGCAGCAAAGCTGTATGTTTTGGCAGCTCTGCTGGAGCCACTGGAGGATTATCCATGTCTGGAGGAGTTGAGTACTCGCCCACCACCTCCTGCCCTGAGCCAAAGCCACCATGTCTGTCTGAACTCAGATGGGTGGGGAGCAGAGAGAAAAAATTTCAATCAGATTTCTTTTTGGTGCAAATTTGGAAATTCTGCATGAACACGTTTCCTGTTCCACCAACCACTTGCTGCCCAGGCAGATGCAGACCTGGACTGCTGCTGTACCCACAGCTCCAGGGACAGCCTGATGTTGCAGCATTTTTGAGAGAAAGAGGACATGAGTTATGAGATTTGAGCTACTCCAGTCTAGGCCTCAGATTTGGGCCTTGTGGGCCTTCAAGCCTCTGACACAGTTAGAAATTCAGAGCTTGTGGCGCAGATAGAAATAGTCTTAAGGTGTGATGGGGACCACTGGGTTGTCTGGGTGTGAATTAGTATAGGTTTTATAGTGTAAGGTGTAGGCCATTTTAAGGAAAAGGTAAACAATGTTAGCCTACCAATCAGAGTGTCTTTGTTTTTGTAAACTATGTAGAAGCTTATATAAACTACCACCTTATCTTGAATAAAGGGAGAACGCTTGATTAACCACATTGGTTCAGATCTGCGTTTGTCTTGTCCAGCTTTCCGTTTTTCTGAGATTCCCTGGCTTTTGCCTGAAGTCAAGCTCCATCCAAACTGCTGTTTTTTCAAAGTCCCAATAAACTCTCATTTTTTGCAAGTAAGACATGATCAGGTATTATCCCTGACACATACCTGTTGAATAAATGAGTGGGATGAACACCAGAGCCTTCAAAATATTTCTCTTAACTTCACTGAGAGTTGAAATAAGGTTCTGGTCTCTGAGGAGACTAAAAAGTCACCTGGCTGATCCAGAAGCACAGCAGACCCTCTACCAACCTCACAGTGCCCACCTGCTTGCTGTGACCGACAGGGAAGGAAGGAAGCAAGGAGAAATCCACCTGAGAGAAGGTTTCACACTCTCCTTAAATCATACAAGAGTCATAAGTGGGTCTGAAGCTGTGTGTGAGTTTGGGATGGCATCTGCTGGGTGGTACCTGCAGCCTCACTCCCCCTGCCAGCAGCTACAGCCCACGGCACAGAGGGTGGGGGTGCCATCCCACAGCCTGGGCCTCTCATTTTGGAGGCATTTGGGCTAATTAAACTTCTGATGGTCTCTGCAGCTGAGGGTGCAGCCTCTGCTGGCTGCAGTGTTCCAGCTGCAGAGGCAGACACAGCTCCCAGACAGCACCACTGCTTGTTGAGCCGTCTGCAATGGTGGCAAAGGGCCAGATGTGCAGGTGTCCGAGCTGCTCACCAGCCCAGATCTCTAAAAAACTTTACAGGAATCTCTTTTGAATCATTCTGCAGCATTTAAACATGCATTAGAATTAAACAGACATTTCACGTGACGTAAAAACTTTAACTAGTCCTGATGGGGACCAAACACCTGCTCTGATCATCTTTTTGGGTTATTTTTTCCTTGTGTTGTATTAATGTATCAAAAGCTCTTAGTGTTACATTTGGCAAGCAAACAGCCCTGAAAGAGAGCCAGCTTAACCACCTTCTGAGGAAGGAAAAATAAATCTAGATTTCAAAGGAAGTAACTCCACTGTGACCTTGAACAAAACTTGCTCAAACTAATATGGAAAAAACTCTCAAAACCAAAAAAAAAATCCCCAAAACCCCAAACTAAACACAGCTTGCAAGGAGCCTTGGCCAGTGATGTCCCTTGGGCTGGCACAACCTTTCCAGCCCTGTTCACATGTGTGACACAGGCTGGTGTGACCAACATGAGCCCCAGTACTTACCTTGCCTATTTCACTCTGCAGCTTGTACTGGTTTAATTGCACACAGTCCTGCAGATCAAAGGGAGAACATAATTAGAGTATTGGTAAAGGAAATTACTGAGTTTGAATCAGGTTCAAATAGCAGCAGAGTGCTAAATTATTAAAGACTTAAACTGGTCTATGTTACACTGTAAGCAGTGCTTTTTTTACTTTTTTTTTTTTTTTTTTTTTTTTTTTTGACAGTCCAAAACAAAATAATTATGGGCTGAATTCTGACTGTGCTGGTGTAAAACCACCCCAATCCCTCAACACCGCCCTAGGTGCAGCCCAGCAGCCCCTGCCTGTTTACATTAACCCTCTCTACTGGACTGTGCTCAGCACCAGGCAGGAAAATCCCTGTCCCAGCTTTCCTGGGCTTCCACAGCCTGGCAGCCCCAGCATCCACCCCAGGGTCACAGCAGGAGCCTGTGCCCTTCCCAACAGCAGCCTGGCAAGCACAGGGCCACTCTGGCTGTGATCCTCCCCTGGATCCTGGGCTGCTCCCCCAGGAGAGCACACAGAGCCAAGCTCCTCTGCTGTGCAACACAAACTGGGGATTCCCTTCAGCTGACACATATTTGCCAAAATAAATCACCCCAGAGCAGGTCTGATCTCTGCTGGTGAGGAATCCATCCCTGAAACCCCACAGGGTGGGGATGTGGTGATGGGGTGCTGAGCTCCTCCACAGACCAGGAGTGGCAAAGGGGAAAACAAGGTGGAAGAGTGTCGGAATCTGTGGGTATTGGTGATTCCGAGATTGTAGAAAGTCTCTGACTTTCTGCCCCGTTGCCAAAGCAGAAGCCATAATTCGTCTGTGCTGGTTTCAAGGTTGTTTATTCTGTTTATCTCTAACATGTTCTGCTGCCCTGCCGCAGCTCTGTCCTGCAGGGCAGCGTGTGGGGCTCTGCCCTCAGTGGGATGGTACAAACATTAAATACCAGAAACTACCTGTGCTGGATTTACAATAACGTGCCAATATCTGTCACCTACATTGAACAGTGTGTCCCCAGCCTGAACCAACAGAAAAATGCCAACACCACAGTGAAACATGGAGGGCATGAAGAAGGAGGAAAAGGACAAGACACACCCAATTTCCTCCATCTTGTCCCCTCTGAACCCCTAATCTAGAAATCTAAAATTTTACTTTTGCACCCATGTCACACTTAATTATTACTCTCATCAAACACTCAAAGCTTGTAATTCATCCTGTAAGATTGAAAACTCTTTTCCATGGACAGAGATCACAGACAGTGTCTCTGGGGGCTCTGTCCAGGGGGGTTCCTGACCCCTGCCAGGGTCCCAGCCCTGCCAGGGCAGCCAGAGGGAAGCCCTGGATTCCCACAGAAGAGAAGATCCATGCAGCCACCTGGTGTTAAACCCACCCTTCCTCTGGAGCTGCACACCTTGCTGCAGAGCCCAGCTCGAGCAGAGCTGAGAGCTCCTGCTGGCATCTCTGCAGTGCTGGCACCAGGCAGAGTGGGCTGCAGTGGAGTTTGCCTTGGTCCTCCCTGAACACAGCACTGAGCTGCATTGCAGGGCAGGGAGGAGCCCCCAGCTTTGTGGGGTGAGGAAAAGGAGGAGTTTCCAGCCCCAGGACACAGTGTGGGCTGAGCATTAGAAGGGATGCACTTCCCAAGCCAGCATTACCAACATTTCTCCCCAAGATTGCCAAGCACTAAAGCAGGCTGGAAATTCACAGCCAGCCTCTGCACTTCTTTGAGAACAAAGCTGCTATAAAACATGCAGACAGGTAGATTAGCCTTCCCATAAACCTCAAAATAGCCCTGCCATCTACAGAAGCAGCACCACCACAACATAAAAGCAGTGCCAGATGCCTTCTGTCCATTTGTAAGAACAGGGGTGGGAGAGCCCCTGCCCCAGGCAGCATTCCCAACAACAGCAACTCTCCTCTGCCTCTCAGGGCCCAGCACAGGTGTGGGAGATGATAATTTGGACTCTTCTCCATCACCAACCAGAAAACATTCCTAATGCTCCTGACTCAAGAGGTCATCACAATAAAAGGAATGGGAGACTGATGACTCTTAAAACCTACAAGCCATGGCTTGTCAGGAATACAAGGAATGGTTTAAATGTCGATCCTGTTGCCAGGGAAGGAAGTTTTTTCCACCTCCCTGACAGGGAAGAGCAGCCAACTGTGAGTAATGGGGCCATAGAAGTGTTTTAACTCTGCTGCTAGCAAAGCACATATCTTTCCAAAGGTAAAACCCCAATCCATCAGAACTGGGAGGTAAAAACCAAGGTAAAACCCAATCCATCAGAACTAGGAGCACCAAGGGATGAGAAAGCATGAGCCAGCAAAAGCCAAAATGCAAGGCAAGAGGGGCCTGTAAGGATGTCCTTCCCCAAAGGAGGGGGCAGCATGCAGGAACCCAGGGTCTGGACACGAGGAGGACAAATTTCCCTGCAAACCCTGTACCAGCAGATTCACTTCCCAGCGTGAGGCTGTGCTTTGCATCATGGTGACTTTCACAAACTCAGCAGGAACACTTTTCTGGTGATGTCTCCTGTCCTGGTTTCTCTGTGCTCAGCTTTGTACCCCTCGCCTGGTCCTGTGAAAACTGCAGTGCTGCAGAGGGTGAAACACCCACTGGAGCAGCTGGGAGAGGCAGGAAAAGTGACCATTCCTCCAAGAAAGCCTCCAACCACCTCAAATCTCCTGCTCTTCAAACCAGGTCTTGCTGGGAGGCCTCCTCCCTGAGCAGGGTCACTTGCAGGAGTACATACAGCCTTTCACACACAGCCATCAACTCTTTGCTGTGCACTCAAAATCTGCTTTCAAGCCAAGGTGGCATCTCTAAAGCACCAAAAGCTGCTTCTTCTTGCTCACAGACTGCCAAGGAAGCCATGGTGGCATCTTTTCCCTCCTTCCAGAAGGAACAGAGCCCTTTGTATGGGATGCAATCCATCCATCCATCCAGGCAAACCTCCCCACAAAGCAGGAGGAGGGACTGTGCCTTTTCCCTGTGGTCAAGCCACCAATTGCTTTGACTCTGTCCTTCCACCACCCCTCTTACCTCTGGCCAGAAATCACTATTCCTATCCCCCACCAGACTGATCACCTGAAACATCTCCCTGGTGCTTCACCGATGCTAGATGGAGCTTGTGACACCAGAACCCTCATTTTTGGGGACAGTTTTTTGAAGGGGGTGGATAAACACTGGGAGGGAACACCCAGAAAGTTCCAAGGGAAAGGCAATGAGCAGATGTGCAGCAGAGCCTCCCAGAGCTCACTGTCACTGTCACCACCTGGCCCACAGCCCCTGTGCTCTCCACTCAGGTCATTCCTGCTGGGAAGCAGCAGCACTCCAGCTTCTGCAGTGCTTCCAGCACTTGAGCTGGACACAGCAGAAATCAAACCACATTATAGGTGCTCTCTATGCTTTTTCTTCTTGCTGAAAAGACCATAATTCAGTGCTGAAGCGACTCCTGCCACGTGTTGCTGCAGGCTGGAAGGGTTGTTCTGTTATTTGCTGCTCCCACAGGAAGTGGGATAATTGTCCTATTCCTTTATCTCTAGGCCAAGTGTATCTTTAAGATAACATTGTACAATTCTCCTGATTTCATCACCCTGATGTGTTTGAAACTGCTGATAAATACAAATAGAGAAGAACCTTAATGAGATCCTTTAATGAAAAGCTGTCACCAAATTAGACTGAGCCAGTCGAAGTGTGCAATTAATTGTTTCACCTTAAAAACCAAGATGCCCTCTGTGTTAACAGTCCAAGGTATTAGTCAAGAGAGGAAGGGAGAGGGAAATCAATGCCACAGAAGACAAAAATTGGTCAAAAAAATCATAAAGCACAGTGCAGCCCAGGCCCAGTTCCAGAAATCCACTGTGGCCACCACTGGGTGACAGAAATCCTGAGAAACTGAGAATTGAGCCTTTGCTGCCCCAGGGGAGATGCATGAATGGGAAGGGAGAACCAGAGCTGATTTCCAAAATCAGACCTTTCTGAAAGCAGACTGCCTACATACATATAATGGAGAATACATATATAATGGAGAATTTCGTCCCTTAAACAAAGCCAAATTCCCCAATCTGAAAAGAATTTTCAGCAATTCAGAGATACACCTTAAAGAGAAGCATGGAAGAAAAATGAGGAAACACTGGTTTAAACTCATCCTGCCTAGAAGGGGAAGTGAAGGCAGTTCTGAACACAGACAAAAATGAAAATAAAAGCCAGAAAATGGGTATTGAGGGCAGAATTTGTTCAGGGATAGAGAAGGATAGACAGGACCCAGACCTCATGGTGGTAAAAAAATAAACAGATTGTGAAACAACATCCAAAAAGAAGTGCACAAAAAGAAAGCCCAGCCCTGCTGCACTGCCCTGGCCTTGGCTGGGCAGAGAGCTCAGCACTGGGGCTCACCCACCTGAGACCCCAGGGCTGATGCAGGAGCCTGGGACTCGTGGGACCAAGGCAGACCCTTCCAGCCCCCCTCCAACTGCAGCTTTGGGCTTTCTCCTCCTCTCAAACCTTACCCTCAGACAAGTTGGAAATGCAACTTTAAATGAAGGATAATTCATCCCAGGAAAAGAAATTAGCAATGTGAGGGAGTCTTCTTTGAAGAAATGTTTTCCAAGTATCTATAATATTTTCAAGAGCTCTGTTTGAACATCACAGTAAGGCCTCTAGAAGAAATTCATCTGAGGAATGTGTAGGGCTGGAAGGGGAAGCTCTCAGCCCATGCTGAGCAGGAGCTCAGCTCCTGCCTCTGCCCTGGCCCCACCTGAGTTTACCTTTGTGCACAGCAAGGAAACCACTTTATGAAGAAAACCAGGCAGGTGCCAGGCCCTGGAGGGGTGTGACACGTGTCAGCCGAGCACCAAGGCACTGCCTCTCAGATCTTGACACCAGCTGGCCAAACAAGCAGGGAGCTATGCTAAAGATGAGAAAGAACAAGGAAAGAAAGGACAAAGAAGTGATTTATTTTCCATGCCTCTGGAGTAAGCCATGGACAATCCAGCATAGGAAAATTCCCGTTGTCAGCTCGTTCTCCTGCCTGCATCTGCAGGCCAGGAGCATCTCCAGGGAGGGAGCAGGCACTGGCCTGACTCATCCTCTCCACTCCTGCTGGAGCACACACAGCTGCAGCTGATTTCCATGGCTGCAGGGACACCTGGAACAGTCTCCTACAGATCCTAGAGGGTGAAGAGAACATAGACACCAGGGCAGGGGGGTCTGGGGTTCAGGGGGAAGAAGGGAACATGTGAAAGGGAAAGGAAATTCAACTGGAAGAGACTGGAGAAGAGACTGCATAAAGCAATTAACTGTGCTGGCAGTTCTGGGGAGAAAACCTGAAAAAAAAAAAAAAAGACATATTCTATTCTTCTCCTAGCCACTCTTCAAGTAAGATTTTCTTGGCTAACTAAAAAGTTGCTTTAAAACAGCAGAATTAAAAAAAAAAAAAAAAAAAAAAAAAAAAAAAAAAAAACCCAGAACAAACCCAAACCAAACCCACCAGCACTGCACTTTCAAATGCCTCATTCCAACACACAGCACCTCTCCCCTCTCACAGATCCAAGACCTGCTGTTATAGGTGGGACAAACTGTCAGTCAACACAGGGACAAGATTTCAGAGAGTCTTTCCCTGGTACATATAAACAACAGGGCATCATCTGGGCAGCAAAGCAGAAGCTGCTTTTAGCAGTCTCTGGAAAATCCTCTCCTCTTGCCTTGCAGCCAGCACAGAGCAGGAGCCAGGAATGTCACATCAATGGAGGCAAAGTGGGCCTAAACTCTGGGGCTTGTGCCTCAGCTCTGCAGCTTTATGTACCCTTATTAGCTTCAGCTTAATCACTTCTGTGCCACAGCTAAGGGCAAAGCCATTCCCTTGTCACAGCAAAGCACTGATAGGCAGCAAGGCAGCAGAAATGCCATCAGGTACTCCTGCCAGGGAAGGCAGCACCGAGAGAACCTTCCATGCATAATCTAAGAAAGGAGGGGAACAAACAGGGAGCTTTTAAAATTCCAGATCAAGTTTTGATAGAGAAATGACAGAGCACAGTAACACTGTTGGGAGAGCAGAACATGTTACGTCTCTTGCAGGGCTAAACTGCAGACTCAGACTTATCAACAGTGGCTGCAGGACACCAGCAGCTGCCAACTCCTTGTCCAAGGGCAGTTGGCCAGCTGGTGTCTCTGGGAATAGCCTTTGTGCAAGACAACAAGCCCCAGCCCTGCTGCAGCCCTGCCAGCCCAGGAGCTACCACCTGCCTAACAACAAATCCAAAAGCTGTGCTCAGAAGGCAGCTGTCTGTGGAATGGTCCCAGTGACAGGACAGCCCCAATTCACTGCTGCTGCCACTTGATAAATCCTCCCTCAGCTTCAGCTCTTGTACCTCTTGATCGCTGAACAGAAGTTTTCCTCCCAGCTTGTGAACAAATATTAAACCAGCTTTAAAAAGCTCAGTAGTATCTCTCTAAGAGAACACAATGTTCTTCCACAATTCATCAGAGAAAGCAGAGCATTCAGCTCTGCTGTATCCCCACACTGTGTCTCTGCATAGCACATCTCTCCAGATCAGTCCAGGATACAGCACCAGTGACAGGCAGGCACTGAGCTGCCATCCTGCTGGAGAGGGAAGCAGGCTCTGGATGAGATGGCAATCAGCACAACAGGAAACTGTGACATGCAGCTGTGCCACCCAGCCCTGCCCCTGACAGACTGTGCCTGCACATGGCTGCTGATAAACCCTGAGTGCTCCTGAACTTCCTCTCCAGCTCTGCACAGTCTCTGACCTGGGCAGTGGCCACGAGCTGGAGCAATAGATGTTCTGCTACTGAAAGGCACTGACCAAGGATGCCAGAAACCCAAAGCAAGAGGAAAGAACCAACTCCCAGATGGCTTTAAGCAGGTGAGAGGCACAGACTGGAATACAAATGTGCAGCTTGCCTAGAACAAGGGCAATGCTGGGCCTGGTGATGACCAGGATCTTGTCAGTGACCCACCAGTCCTGCTGCTCACTGGGGGTCTGCATATCAGAATGACCACCAGCAGCACCATGACTGTATTTCTCATTATGGGCTGATTTCATCCCCAGTAGGACCAAAAGCCTCAACATGGAAAGCCTGGTAACTTTTAGAATCCCTGACAGAGGACAGAAGATCTGCTCTCTGGTTCCGTCAGAGTTCCCTGCTGTCCCTCTCACCTGCACAGCTCAGACTGGGACTGGCAGTGCCTCTCACAGCCACCAACACAACAACCCCTTAACAGGCACCTGGCAGAAGCAGTGGTGACCCTGGGCACTGGAGCAGGGCTGTGTGCAGGCTGCACACTCTCCTGGCTGTCACACACTGCTCACCATCCAGTGCCCAGCCTCACATTTTACCCTGTATCCAAACATGCATTTTCCTAATCCTTCTGTTCCTTATAGGGTACAGATGCTATCCCTATAAGGTGGGAAGGAGCAGCACAGCTCCTGAGAGTACGTGAGGGCAAGCACCCACCCCAGAATGTTCCCAGCTGGCCCAGGTTCCCTTCCCACTCTCCCCACAGCCGTTCCCCATTAATATGAGTGATGGCTTCCAATAGGCACAGCTCTGCTGCACAGCAGAGCTCTCTCAGCGATATCCAAGTGACCATGAAAAAGGCAGCACTGTGTAAAGAGCTGCTGCAGGAGCAGGGACACAAGGACTCCACATCTGCATTTCAAACACTACCCTTGCTCCCCAGGATGCAGGTGCTGTGGAAGAGGATGGAGTACTTTGAATTGGCTTGCAGATGGGAATGTGCCAGTCACACTTGACTGCAGTTATGTTGAAAGATTTCAGAAAAGCCTCACTCCTGGCACAGTCACAGCACTGCAGGATGGGAGAGCTGGCACTCAAGTCACGTCCTGCTTCCAAGAACTGGCTGCTTTCCCTCCCTGCCTCCCTTATTAAAGCATATGGCTGCTGCCAAAGAAGCTGCAGCCTCTGCAGTGCTCCTTCTGCATGTATCCTCTTATCAGCAGGGGATGTCCCACCCGTCCCACAGCTGATGTGGCTTGCACAACTCCCCAGAGGACAACTGATTTGGTGTGCACCACCATCCTCTCAGGGGGAAACACCCACTTCTCAAAAGGGAAACACCAAGCCACACAGATGTTTAGCTCCAGGTTCCTTGGACCCACACTGGCAGAAGTCTAAGCTCCAGTGGTTTGGGTCCCTGTGTTGCCACAGGCATCTGGGTCATGACACTGGGCAATGTGGTCTGAACATCCCTCTGCTCCCCACCCCAGCACTGGGAATTGCAACCATCACCCGCCTCCATCAAGACACTCGACCACTAACATGGTCACAGCTCCTCCAGGGCAGGTCTGGGACCAGGAGAGCAGCTGCAGAACAACCACAGCCCCCCAGACAGCCCTCTGAAGGAGAGCAGGGTCACAGCTTTCCCTTACCACTGCTGTTACAAATGCTTTAAAGAGAAAAGAAAACCTGACAGGAGCCAGGCATTTAAGCTCTTTATAAAATTAAATGATGCCTTCAATTATGGCAAAACACAATAGTAGATACATAATCTCCAGAAGTTTAAATCCATAAAATACCATCAGCAAAGCTGCTGTGACTGTGAACTCCCAAAGGGCACCTACAGCAGGGACACAAGAGCAAAGTCATTTGGCCACAGCCCTTTCTCTGAACACCCTGCAAGACTTCCTGCATGCCACCATGACACAGGGTCATGGTCCCTTAGCAAGACTATCCCAGGCAGGTGAGGGCTAAAGGAGCCAAATGTCAGGGCCAGGGCTGCACCCAGCAGAGCTCTCCAGTTCCAGGCTATATCACCCCTGGTTCCAGGGATTTCCCCCCTGCCCCACTTTGAAATAACAGTGCTTTCAGATCTACTCCTCCAGAAGACTGAAGGCTCCCATTAGCACCTGAGAAAGACTTACCTTACCTCAACACCTCAGCTGTAGGGGAGAACATGCCTACCTCAGAGTCTGATATGGAGACCCGATTGGACTCTATTGTTGGTCTCCTGATTATACGTGGGGATGGCCCTGTGGAATAAGGACCACAACCTGGAGTGTTGCCAGATGCCAAATAACCTCCTGATGATCTTTCCTGAAGGGACAACTTCCTACTTGATAGACCAGGTCTGGTTAGAGGTCTCTTGGGAACATGCCTCAAGTGAGTATCTTCTGACTGTTGGGAAGGCAGAAATTCATTGATTCCCACATCACTGCTGACTCCATTTCTTTGGATGTCCTTTATGTTATCAGAAAAGACTGTGTCATTTTCTTCAGTGTTGTCTTCACCGTTTTGGTCCCTTCTGTCTGGGACAACAGACACATCTATGGCTGCCACCCTCTCCACCAGTTCAGTCTGTGTGTCCGTGCCTCCATCCACAATATCTGCTGGAGAGTCCCCCATGGCTGTGTCCAGCTCCTTTGCTCTCAGATGGTCACACAGAGAGCAGGGATGTTAGTGCTCAAAGGCTCCATGAAATACCTGAGAGGAATCACAAACAGAGGTAAACCAAATAGAAATGTTCACTCAACACAAACATAACCAGTCATTTCTGGCTTCTTCCAGCATGCAAGAAAGTGAAGGCAAAATACTGGCAGGCTGTAAACAAGGTACAAACACTCAGATTAAAAGGCAAATCCAGGCATTGAGCTAGACAAGAAAGAGATAAAAACGAGATTTTATCTGATGTGTAACAAGTGACACAACTAAAGAGAATTTCTCCTTCTGTAGCCAGACCTACAGCCAACCAGAGCTTACAATACTGGGAGAAGCATCCCAACACTTGAGGGCCAAGGGTCAAATTTTTGACCTCTTGAATTCTTATTTATAGGATACAAGAGCTTCTGGCATGTATTGAAACCCAACAGGCAAAACAGCAACTCCACAGCCATTTAGGGCTCCCCAGTAGCCTCTCTGCTGCCCTGTAGGGCCTTAGAGAGTGTCACAGAACGGCCAAGCCTGGTGACTTCCACACTGCCATGTGCAACATGGTCAGCAAAAGCAGAATTTAACAGCAAATCCAGTTCCAGGATGGCCCATGGCCCTACACAGTTGCAGTCTGTGTGCAAACACACGTTAATCTTGCTGCCCACTGTATATAAAGGCTATAGTGATTTGCAAATCAACAATACTTAATGATTAAAGTGTGGTGGGAACCAGCTTTTCCTCAGGAAAAGACCTATAGAACACAAAAGTGCAATACAAAGCCAAAACTGCTGCATAAAATCGCTGTTTCCTGGATGCTAATTTCAGTCTCAATTTAAAACAGATTTCAGTCTTCCCAGCACAGCACAGAGCAGGAAATGATCCTCTGCAGCACATGGCTGTCAACATTTAATCACCTCTGAAGATGCAGCACTGCATCATTTCATCCCTGTGCCCAGCCTGTGGGGGTAGTAGGGGAGTACTTGACTTCACTCACAGCACCCTAGCCTGCATCCAGTAAATTCCAGAGCAGGCTTAACCCTGAAATATTGCAGGTTTAACCCTGAAATATTGCAGGCTGTGGCTCTCTGTAAACAAAGCAGGTTGTGCATAAATCCCTGCAAGCCAGGTGACAGTTGCAGCTACATTTCATTCACATGAGGATGGGCTGGGGGTGAGCGAGTCCCAAGAGCCCCATCCAGCATCAGCACTCAGAACCCTTGTCAAGGAGCTGGGCTCAAAGCTGCCCAGCAGTGCTCAGTTAAACACACTACAGTGAACTCTGCTGCACAGGGATGACCTCCTGAGTCCCCCCTGGCAGCCAAGCTCAAGCAACCTTTTATATCAATGAGAAAACCAGATTAAAATCTTGACTGGAGGCTCACCCTAGGTCATGTGCCAATCACAGGGAGACAAGCTGGGCTCAGGCCACAGAAAGGGAATATCCAAATCTAAGATATTCCTCTCCACATCCCACTGTTCACCTCCTTTCCCCACTCCTGTCTTTTCTGCAGACTTGCCTGAAACTAATTGACAGAAGTGTCACTCACTCAAAACAGTAATGAAATGGTGAGCTCAGCTTTAGAAGCTTCTATTAAAACTATATTTAAACACATCAATCCCAAAGCATAAATCCCCTTTGGAGCCAGGGTGCAGGCACTGGGGGAGGGGTTCAGTGGGGTTCAGTCCAGCACACACCGCACACAAACCCAGGGGAAGCAGCACGAGCCTCCCCTCTGCCAGACCTCCCTGCTCTGCAAACCCCAAACCCAGGCTGCAAACCAGCCAGGCAGCAGTGACCCTGCAAAACCCATTTGTGGGAAGCCCACCGAGGATTTGCTGTCTGCAAAATGCCTTTGGGAAGTCTGGAGAGCTTCTGAGCTAAACAAGGAGCATCAGCTCAGGGCTACTGCAAGCCTGCAGTCACCCCAGCTCCTCTGCAGAGGCTTTCCCTGCCCTGCAGAGCCTGGGAGCAGCACATTTCCCCCTGACACACGTGGGAGATGCCTGCATGCTTGGTTCTGTGGGACGGTCATCTCCTCAGCCCCAGGGAGGCACAGTCAGCCTCCAGCCCTGCCTGTGGATCAGGGCTTCCCAGGGCTGCTCTGCACCAGCCACATCCCTGCTGTCATTAGCCCCTGCCAGGCTGGGACATCACAGAAATCATTCTAAATGAAGGCAAGGAAGGAGCAAAAATGCTTCCACCATTTAACCCATCTTGCCCAAAGGATAGGAGGAAACCTCCAGGCTACCCTGTGCTGAAAGCTGTTTCTTCTGCCTACAGAGAAACAAACCACCTTTCCTTGATGCAGCTTTAGCCCCTGGACAGTCACAGCTCACCTCACCCCCAGGCAGCACCAAGAGGAAAATGAATCTGCAGCTGCAGCCTGCAGCTCCTTCACCTTCTCCCCTCCTCCTGCCATGAGGTTTTCCCCCTCTGTGGGAGCAAGGGAAGGAAGAATCTGCCCATGTTGCTGCGTGGATGGGTGTGAAAGCCCACAAACCACCCACCTGGAGTGAACATTTGTGAGTCTCATGCTGCTCAGCCAGCAAGAAAAAAGGCCAGGAGCACTGGGAAGAGCAGCCCAGCAAACAGTGATGCTTGTGTCAGTCACCTGAGCAGCTCCTCAGCACCCAGACCAGGCACCCGGGGTGTCTCCCCCTCAAAAGCTGAAGCAAACTTGCTCAGTTCTAACCCACAGCACAGGCTGGAAAATAAATCCTGAGATAACTGACAATTGAACTAGATAAACTGAAGATAAACCCCATAAATCAGTTTATCCCATCAAAATAAAAACAGACCCATACATCGCTAAAACAAATAACTCAGTGCTGCTAAAAGTAGGCTTTAAATAAAATAATTGTTCATCTGTAGAGCTGGGCTTTGTTTCAAGTTCTGCTGTTTTGAAGGACTCCTTTTCACTGATAAATCCTCCAAAACTGTATTGGAAAGCAAAGATTTCTGAATAAGCAAATCAGTTATGTGCAGCCCAGCTTCTTTGTGCATAAACTCAGTACAAAAGGCAACTGTTAATTTCTGCAAGGCTAAATCAATGGTGGATTTGCAGTTTTTCAGGCTGTGGCACAACCATACCTTGCTGTGATGGGAAATCCCAGAAAAACAGAAATTCCACCACCACCATCTCCCAGCTCCTGCACAGCTCTGCTGTCCCTGCTGAGCCCCCACAACACCGAACACCTACTGTAGAGCAGAGGATAATGCTGCAGACACAAACCAAAGCTGCAAACAAGCTTATATGAGCAAAATTAATTTACTTACAGATATCTTATTTACCATTTTTCCCTGTAGCTATTCCTCTGCTGCAGGCAGATTGCCACTTCAACCATGATTTTCACAATATATTTATCAAATGGCTGCATATGTTTCCCAGACTGGCACTGAGCAGAGAATGGTACAAACAACCCTTTTGAAAGGAATATGATCCTGGAGAAATCCTCTCTGTATTTTATGTGGGAGTGGGGGATGAGCAGATGCAATTCATTTTGCTGCTCAATAAAGTATTCCAAATCATCATTTGAAAAATAAAAAAATGTAAATGCAGTTTACTGCCTGCTCCATCATCTTGGCTAAGTAGAAATGTTCCTATCAGGAAGGATGGGGAGGCAAAAGGCCCTGAGCCACAGCAAACCCAGCTTCATTTCCCAAATCTGCTAGAGACTGCAGAAAAGTGACTTTATGGCTTTATTGAAGTTCCAGGTTAAGAGGAAAGATGCTGCTTCTCCTTTGTGTCCCTGAGAACACACCTGCCCTGTGCTGAGGCCATTGCAGGAAAAGAATCCCAGTGAATAATTACTGTAATGAACATTTGCACAGAAAGGGTTCAGGCAGATTCTGCTGCTGCTCAGAGGCTGCCAAGTGCTCCTGGCTGGCATCCCCCATCAGGGATGTCACCCCGAGACCCTCCCTGCAGGCACATCCTTCAGCTGCTCCTGACACACAGGACTGTCACAGAGAGAGCTCCCAAAAAGCACAGCAGCTTCACTCAGTGCTCCACTATCCACCAGCAAGGTCAGGCATCAGGCCAGGCTCTCCAGTCAGTGCAATGATCCACGCTCCAGGAGTGGCTGCCTGCAGAGGGGATGTCACAGAATTCACAGATTGATCAGAGAGACCTTCAAGATCATCGAGTCCAACCCAGCCCCAACACCTCAGCTAAACCCTGGCACCCAGTGCCACATCCAGGCTTTGTTAAACACACCCAGGGATGGGGACTCCACCACCTCCCTGAGCAGACAATTCCAACACTTTATCACTCTGTCCATAAAAAACTTTCTCCTAATATCCATCCTATATTTCCCTTGGTGCAGTTTAAGACTGTCATCCCCATCATCAGCATCCATCAGCTGAGGTGAGACCCCCTCGGGAACCCCCTCCTGCCCGGGGCAGAGCTGGCAGCACACCTGTCACCCTGTTCTTTTGAGAGTTTTAAAGTTCTTCTAAAAGTTTCCTATGCCTTCTGATGTTTACATATCTCTGAATTTTCTCACACTGTTCATGTAAATAATGATTGTTTTGCATTCTTCTTTGTGGGGAGAGAGAATTGATGGACTGTTGGTTTGATCAGTGTGGTTGGAGAGGTGGCACTTTCACCCTCCAATCCACTGTCACTTTTGCTATTGTATATATTAGGGAGTCAGAAAATTAAATTGTTCATTGGATTCTTTTCTTTCCCCATTTACATCTAGCGTCCGTGTGTGAGTTATTTTGTGTCATAGTGTGACAAGTGGAGAAACTTTAGAAGAACTTTAAAACCCTCAAAAGAACAGGACAAGACACACCCAGCCCTGTGTGTTTCCTTCAGACATTGCCCCCAGCAGCACGGCCAGGGTGAAGAATCTGCTCTGACAGCTGCCAACAGCAGCGGCAGAAACTGCCTGCCAGGAGAGCAGCGTGTCCTGGGCTGGGCTGCCAGGTCTGCACAGCCCCTCAAATGACATTTTAGAAATAGCAGGTCAGCAAGTCCCTTCCAGAGCCAAAGCTGTCTCCTCACACCAAGCAACACAGGTGAGGAGTATTTCCATCCTGGAGTGTCTCC